AAAAGAACACAATGGTGCTCTAGGAGGAGATTCAGGTGATAAGGGTTACCTTGGTTGCTGATTGGCTAATGGTTACAAAAGACAAAACATCGTTATGACATCACAAAGTGGGCAAAATCTGATCAGCTCATTTTCAGACAGGTTTTTATAGAAATGGATCAAAAAGAGAGAGAATCTTTGTTCCTGAAACTTTCAGAGTCTCTTTCCACAGAGGGGACACATTTTGATGTAGAAGAGACATGGAGAAGAGGGGACACATGTTGATGTAGAAGAGACATGAAGAAGAGGGGACACATGTTGATGTAGAAGAGACATGAAGAAGAGGGGACACATGTTGATGTAGAAGAGACATGAAGAAGAGGGGACACATGTTGATGTAGAAGAGACATGGAGAAGAGGGGACACATGTTGATGTAGAAGAGACATGAAGAAGAGGGGACACATGTTGATGTAGAAGAGACATGGAGAAGAGGGGACACATGTTGATGTAGAAGAGACATGAAGAAGTGGATTTTGCATAATAGGTGACCTTTAAAGAGGCCCTATTTAGCTTTTTGGGGTTGCCCCTCCTCTAGTGAGTTTTGGTCGGTTCTTTTATGTTCCTTGCACGAACACCTTCGAGAAAAATAAGAAGAGAGCAACAACAATTGGGCTCCAGCAGAAAGAACATTTGTGTTGTTGTTGTTGTCAAAGAAAATAACATTGAAGCATTTGTAGAAATATAAGTTAGAGGGATGTTTTTCTTTGTCGTGCCCAAGACGCCCTATCCAGCTTTTTTGGGGTTTCCCTCTCCTGTAATGAAAGGCAAGGCAAGTTTATTCATACAGCACTTTTCAACACAAGGCAATTCAAAGTGCTTTACAAAAATGAAAGACATTAAAGGCGTCAGAAAATAAAACCCTCTCTCTTTTCCTCCGTACCCAAATCTCTAAAAACGGGGGAACAACGGAGCTGATCCAGATTTGCGTCCGATATGACGTAATATCTGAAATGTGGACCCACGGCCCTATCAGAAACGTTGCTATCAGAAACAATGCCCGACTGTTTTGGACGTAATATGGTCGGTGTTTACATTAGCATCGCTAACACTCAGAGCTAACCTGTACTGGAGAGCATGTGTGTGAAGAAGCAGGAAGTAAAAAGGAACTCACCTTGTGGTATAACCGGCAAGAGAGAAAGCCTTTGAGCTCCATACTGTTTCAGAGATAATCCTTGATAATCCATGATATGGCGTTTCATCACGGCAGTATTTAGTTTAGACAGTAGCTGCCGGGTCCCGCATGAGCTCAGACCCCTCCTTTTTATTTTCTATCAATCTTTTTTTTTTTTTTAAAGCTTTATACCCAAATCAGCACTTTTGAAACAGGAAGTGAAATAGAGGGATATGAGGCATGGCTAGAATGGGTGATCTTTTTGGTATTTTGAGCAAAACACTTCATAGACATGTTTTTTATATATTTTTTTATATCTGAGTCCTGTGCTATTGCATAAACATAGCATGATAGGTGACCTTTAACTAAGTTATTTTGTTTCAATTCCCAAAGCTTAACCATTAGTTTAATACTGTAACTGTTTCCCCGGAGAAAATAATTTCCCCTTCAAAACGTCTATGAGAATACAAGACAGTGCTCCTAACCCATAAACAGGGCAGGGAAGACAGAATGTATTGAGTGACAGATAAAATGTGACCGTCCCATATCCATGACACTTAAAACTATTTTTTCCCTACCCACTCTCTGCCAGGCCTCCCAGAGGAGCTCTTCTTCTCTGCTCTCATAGCAGCTCCTCTCTCCTCACCTCTTCCTGTCGCTGTCTCTTTTTTTAAATCAAAGGATGGATGAGGAGAGAAAGAGGTCAAAATATATCCCAAAGTCCCCCACAGTCGCTTTATAATTAAGTCAAAAAATAGTATATATAGGCCCTCGCTAGCAATAGATCTGGAGATTGTTTTCAGGTGAGACATACAGCTCAAAAGTGGGTGTCCATACATGATTTAAAGCCGGTGACAAGGTGGAAGAACTCAGAGCTGTTGCTTTAGTAAAGTAGTAACAACAAGTGTAAGAATACCAAGCAAGCGCTGCATGGAAACACGTCCCATTGGGTTTTCAGTTGAGTTTTCAGCCGAACATATTTTTGGTGTATTTTCATGGGATTGATTTGTTGACGATAATCAAACCTATGCTTCAGAACTTTCCAGTGTCATATTTATTATGTATTTTGAGGAGGAACATTTCTAAATTTCTAAATGTTATAACTTCAGATTGTGGCCTGTCAGGGGCGCCGTAAGGGGGTGAAAAGTTAGGACGATTCTAAGGGCCCGTGACTGACAGGGGCCCCCAACATTTTTTAGAACATAAAGAAAAAATATTTAACTAACCTCTCATCAATCATCATCATTAACATTAATAACATCATATTGAATAATGTACTTCACTACACTTACAATTCATTTAACTTATTTTCTTCCAAAAGTTAATTATCCAAAGCCTCTGACACCCCCCTCCTATTTACATGTAATGGTTTGGTCCCCTACCTCAACGCTGTGCCGGCACCCGGCGCTTTTCTAAAGACTGAGAGCCATGTGAGGAGCCATCCAAATAAATAGACAAAGTGGGCACGTTCGTGAGAGTTGGAGGAGAGAGAGAGAGGAGAGACACATGAGAGAATATAGAGAGAATTTACATCCTGTTTCGTGTAATTTTCCAATATCTAAGCGAATCTCCGAGCCGGTTTCTCAAACATTACAATACCCTACCTTATTAGAGGATTCATAGTATATTTAAGTTATATATTAATATAATTAATAGAGAGAGAGGAGAATTTACATGATATCACACAAAATTATAAAAGCATATACACAAAACAGATATAACTAATGAGGTCATATAGATACAGAGATAAGTATAATAGATAATACCAATAAATGAAATATACTACAAAGAGCAAGCAGATAGAGAGCAGTAGAAAAAAAGATGCCACGATACCTGAGAGAACACAGTGTATATGTTCACCGCTCAGTGTCAGTAAAAAAAAATAATAGAGCAGTATATATAATAAACATAACAGAATGCACAAAACCTGAGGGGAGGTAGAAATAAATAAGAGCAATAAATAATGGTTGGATTATAGGAGAGGTGTGGTTACAGGAATTGTGCTTGATTGCAGTGGGCACTGGGTGGTGAGGATAGGGAGAGAGGAACACCCGTGTACATATTCAGGACACAATCCCGAGACAACAGGA